GGCTCTCATCCCAGATATTACATGTTGAGTGGGCGAAACAGTGCACGGCCTCTTAGACTTCATCACTGAGACATGGGTTCCACTTGCCACTGAGTCTCAAGTAGTGGAGTTGTAGCAGGAGGGCAAAGCGACAAAAAATGGAGATGTCATTTACAGTAACTCAGATAGGACTGTCCTTCTGTTACAGGCCCATCCCGAGCCAGCTGGCTTTCTCAGGAAGAAGGATGTGGCAGCTCACTTAGAGGAGACCGTGAATAGGGAGGACATCTTGGTTGGCCAAGACAAGACAGTGTCACAACCAAAACTGTACAGGGATTCTTTCACATGTACCATGAAACATGCATAAAAAGGTCATTCAAAGCATGTATTTATGGCATGTCTGCCCTTCTGGCTAGTGTATATGAATTCTAGGGCATGTGCTTTGTCTCCTTGATTCTTATATCCTTAATTCCTGGAGGATAGCAGATGCTCCAAAAACACCTCTTGGATTTAATAGAACTCGTAGAGCAGGAATTTTTCTAAAACATCAGACACCACAAATTTCTCCATGCTTTGGGGAATATCATGATTTCAACCACAGAAAAGACACATTGACACATCATAAAAATTATTATGATCTATAATTTTCTTATAGTTATGGTTCCTCGACATTCTTTCAGAGAGCACCAGTTTCTGAACTTGGGGTAGGTGAGACAATTGCTTGAAGACTGAAGGGTGGAAGCAGGAAAGGGAAGGTAGATGTGGGGGAGGTGCATCAAACGGGGGACAGAATCAGAATACGACAGGACATGTAAGAGTCTGACAACCCGGAAGAATATCAGTGAATGGACAAAGGAATTTTGAATGTTGCTTTAGTGGTCATAAGGAAGAAAAGGTAAATTTTTTTCAAAGCTTTTATTTTACATATATGAGTGTTTTGTCTGCACATACGTGTGTGTACTACATGTGTGCAGTCCCCATAGAGGCTGGAAGAGAGGGCATCAGATCCCCTGAAGTTACAGATCGGGGTGCTGGGAATTGAACCCAGGTCCTCTGCAAGAGCAGCCAATGCTCTTAACCATTGAGCCATTTCCCTAGCCCCAGAGATAATATTTTAAGTGTACACTATATTCTGACCTGTAGCTAAGATGATCAGGTACATAGGTTTTGCAAGCGAGTACATTAAACATCCCTGGCCACAATTTTACAAAATAGACACTGCTCTATCCAGTTTGTAGATCAAGAAATGAGATTCGAAGAGTTTATATAATTGAGTTACATCACCATCAAACACATACTAAGTGTCAGTGTCAGATTTTAATGATTCTCTATTATTCCAAGTTCCACATGTTTTCAATACCCATTTCTCCCCAAATAACACTAAATTGGGTGAAGGGCTAGTCCTCAAGCTCACCAGAAGCTATGTCTCCAGAGTCTGCATGTGAATACCCTTCAGGTTCTGCCTTGCCAGTATCCAAAGAGGACACCTGTAAGTAAACTTGATGATTAATATTTCCTAGATATTTGTACATGAGAGAAGAAGAAGTAGAGGAGGAGGAGGAGGAGGAGGAGGAAGAGGAGGAGGTAGAGGAGGAGGAAGAGGAAGAGGAAAAGGAGGAGGAGGAGCATTGATTCCCATATCAGCCATCTACCAAGTTCTTCACTGCTGTAGGAGGCAATAGGGGAGTTTCATATCATTTAAAATAGAGGGTACAATTATTAATCCATTTTAATTCAAATAAAGGGGGTAATGAAGAGTTATACACAACTGAACAAATACAAAGAGCCCCAAACCCACTGACGTGTGTTCTCTAAGCCATGTTTGAGTACCCTTTCTTTTCTTGTGTACTGTTAGCAAATTGGCTTCGATAATGAGCTTAAAGTCTAACATTACTAGAATTTACCTGATGTCAACCTGGGAAGGCAAGAAGTCCTAGCCCTGAAGCAAAGAACTTAGATAATCACTAACCATCTATAATGCAGTGAGTGGTCTTGCCCCAAAAGATATGTTTAACTAGAACCTATGAATGTGTGCTTGGGAGACATCTGAAGTTCTAGTTAAGACTCTCAAATGTTTTGCTAGACTGAGGTGGAACTTGGAACTAATAAAACTCAGAAGAGAAGAAACACATAGAGAAGATGAAGATGGGAGGCAACCGGGGTGCAATCCATCTGCCTACAAGCTGAGAGCCACAAGGGTAGCCAGAATCTAGGGAAAAAAGCATGCAACAATTTCTCTCAGGGCTTCCAAAGGGACCTTGTTTAAAGCCATCATGAGAAAAGAAGCCAGCTTATGCCAATCTAGCAGGCAGCAACCAGCCCTCCCCCACCTCTCTCTGAAACTCATAGGGGCTCTTCAGGATTCTCAATGGAGACCCTGAACTAGAACCACATGGAGTGTGGAAGCAGACTATGGGGCTAGGACTAGAGATTTTAGACACAGATGTTTGAGAACAACTGTCCTGAAGGCTGACAGGCTTAACTCTCCTCTCTGAGCTGTCAGAGTTTGCTAAGTAAAAGTCACCTGGCCATGACATGATTTTGGGAGGCATAGAGAACTTCTCTTTCAATGATAAAACACTCCTGTATATAACAACCCAGTGTAATGAATATGATTGCTCAGGAAGAGGATTAGCGAAAATGCAAGGTAGAATTTACTAAATTGTGAGTAGGAGGCGGTTCTAGTCTGCTTCTCTGCTGCTGAGACAGACATCATGACCATCATGACTAGGGGAGAAAGGGATTTATTTGACTTACAGGTTACAGTCTATCATGAAGGGAAGTCAGGACAGGAACTCAGACAAGAACCTGGAGGCTGACCTGAAGCAGAGACCATGGAGGAACACTGGCTATTGGCTTGCTCAGCCTATCCTCTTATATAACCCAGGATCGCCTGTGGTGATATTTTATTTGTGCTGAAATGTGATTTTATTTGTATGTTAATAAATAAAGTTTGCCTGGAGATCAGAGGTCATAGCCAGTCAGGCGGTGTGGTATTGTATTCCCCCAAATATTGTGCATTCTAATAAACTTATCTGGGGTCAGAGACAGAGCAGCCACAATATTAAACATAAAGGATAGGCAGTGGTAGCACATGCCTTTAATCCTAGCATTCCAGAGGCAGAAATCCATGAGTTCAAGGATGCAGCCAAACATGGTGACTCACGCCTTTAATCCCAGGAAGTGATGGTAGAAAGCAGAAAGGTATATAAGGCATGAGGACCAGAAACTAGAAGCATTTGGCTGGTTAAGCTTTTAGCTGGTTAAGCTTCAGGCTTTCGAGGAGCAGTTCAGCTGAGAGCCATTGGGATGAGAACACAGAAGCATCCAGTCTGAGGAAACAAGACCAGCTGAGAAGCTGGCCAGGTGAGGTTAGCTGTGGCTTATTCTATCTCTCTGATCTTCCAGAATTCACCCCAATAACTGGCCACAGGTTTGATTTTATTAATAAGACTCTTTAAGATTCCTGCTACAAGGCAGTGGTGGCACACACCCTTAATCCGATCACATGGCAGGCAGAGTCTCTGTGTGTTCAAGGACACAGCCAAGCATGGTGACACGAGCCTTTAATCCCAGTACCAACCATAGAGACCTGGAGGTCTGTATAGACAGGCAGTGATGAGGAAGCCATGTGGTTGGGTTTAGAGCCAATGACAAGGCAGAACAGAAAGACAATAAAAACAAAAGTCGAAAGGAAGAAGCTCTCTCTGGGGAAGTGACGGCGGCGAGATGGTAAGATGATGTAGTCATGCTCTTCGCCAGTTCTCTGGTCTCTTTGGTTATGACCTCTGTGCAGCTTATTTACTAAGACTGTTTAGAATTTCATCTACAATCGCCTGCTCAGGGGTGGCACTGCCCGCTGTGGGCTGGGTCCTTTCACATCAACAGTTAATTTGGAGCACAAATGTTGGAAGAGAAGCCTCCTTGAACTCGTCCGCTTGACAACACTGCTCATTAAGCCCTCCTGCATTTTTATTTTGTTTTAAATGAGATGGAGTCTCAGATAGACAAGATCGGCTAGGTAGCTAAAGACAGCCTTGGACTTCTGATCCTCTGCCTCCACCTTTGGAGTGTTGAGAGCACATAGACATGTACCACCATGCCGAATTTACGTGGTGCTAGGAATGAAATCCAGAATCTTCCTAGGCAAGCACTCTGCCAACTGAGCTATATATCCAGCCCCACTCTTGCATTTTAGATGAGGCACATGCAGACCCACGTAGAAAAGTCTCACAAGCCCTGGATAAGGAAGAGAAGAAATACAGCATGGTCTTTACTCACAATGGTACCTCAGAGTTTAGCTCCCTGCCTGTCTCTACCTGGAAAATCAATGAACATGGACAGAAATAGTGTGGTCCAGGAGCTGGGCACTGTTGAACAGCGGGGTGCGCACGTGGGTATAGAGACTTCGGCATCCCGATACTCTGTTGACTGCTTTCCAGCCAAAGAAAAATGGGTCTCAAGGTGGAAATCCATCTGACCACATAGACCAGCCAATTGGGTCCTTGAATGGCTGAGTAAAAGGAACCCAGCTGAAATATCTAAAGAAGCCCAGGTGTGGAAGGCTCCCGTTCCTGAATTCCTTTACATGACTGTGACAGTTGTTGGTGGAGACTTTTATGATTATCTGTAACTAGCAGTCATAGAAACCATGGTCCTATTCATTCATTTGATGGTTTCTCAGAGGACTGAGAGGGCGTTAAGGAGAAAGGCTGAACTGGGGGAGGGGTGTCGAAGGTGAAATTCGTCATAGGAGGAGGCGATGTCCCCACGCAGCTCGCCTTTTGGGAGTAGGGGCTACACAGGACTCATAAAGACGTAAAAAGGAGAAACTTTGGAAGGAAGGGGATGCTCTCCCCTGCGCCTAAAAGAAATCTCAGCCCCACCACATACCCCCACAAAAGTTCACCACACCACACCTGCCGTCCCCAGATGGGGCTCCCCGCGCCAACGCCTCCACATCCTCCAACCACGGTGTAAGCTCCTCCCTCGTCAGAGCTTGGCGCTGTCCTAGCGCTTGAGCGCCCCGGCGGGCAGCTGGGAGTGGGCCCGGCTCTCAGCCATTGGTCGCGCGGCCCCTGAGGGCGGAGGGACGCTGCAGAGCCGGGCACAGTCAGCCGGGTGCCCACTCCCACTGCGCCCGCCGCCCGTGCACTCTGGTCGCGCACCGCGTCCCCTCGCGGTGCATTCCCTGGGACCGCTGTGCAGGCGCGCATCGCCAAGGCAGGGCCGCCGCCCCACCCAAACGCCAGAGTCCAGATCCGCATGTCAGTGAGCCCGGGCACAGGAGTGGGGAACTGAGACGTACGGGGTGAGGAGCAATGGCAGAGGGCTTGTCCCCAGAGAGGGTTGCCAGACGCCCCGCCTAGGGCGGCAGTGGGATCCCTTAGCTTCAGGATTCTTCATCCCGGACTCTCCTGGGACTACTTAAGATTTGGCTCTTTGCTGTGGAACACCTCCGAGAATCTTTCCTTCTCGTAGCTGGACGCATCCGTAGGGTCCTGAAACAGGCCCTGCAGCCCAGCTCTCAGGGTCTTAGGGACACTTAGCCAGCTACAACTGGATCCACCTGGGGCCCGGCAGGCAATGCCCTTGACCCCGGGATGATCTGCCCGGTTTCCTGCACAAGGAGTCAGGAAAGTCTGCCCTCCAGTCTGCCGCTGCTAAGGTTGATTCCCCTGCGGACAGTGTACACTTCGTAATACGTTTCTGGTGCCTTTTGTGTGGGTTTTGCGGTGTGTGAGAGCTTTTCTTTATTTCTAGGGTCATCTGTTCCTTTCTGAGGAGTCGCTACGCGCACATTGACGGCTGGCATTGCTCTGTGCTGTATTCCCTTGAGTCGTCTCTCTTGTCTTCGGGTGGCTGCAAATCCGGATAAGTTTTTCCCAGCGCTGAACACTTGGGTTCCCGGGCGGAGCTTTCTTCTGGGTAAGTAACGCACCCTCAATCCTTCGCTTTCCCAGGATGCGAGACTGCCTGCAGCCCTGCGCCTCCCAGGCGAGAGAAAGGTTCGCGCATTATGGGCAAATGTTTGAATCCCCGTTAAGACGGAATAATAAGCAATGTGCCTCCTCCTGGGAACAGAGAGACACGTTCATTCTCAGGAACGTCTTGTTGAGACCAGGACTATGCCTGTGCGCTTTGCGTGGTCAGATGTCTGGTCCCGCGGGCTCACTCGGGTTTGGCGTCAGGTTCCAAAGACTGGGTTTGTTTCTTAATGCCCTTCATTTTCTCTGTCGGTTTATTTTCCTGGGGAGAACGTTGTGCTGAAGCACTTCAATTCGGTGGGTCTTGTTTAGAGGCTAGATGATTAAAGAAGGTAAAAGCCATCATATTGGACAAGGCTCCCCTTGCAGGTACCCAGAGCAGGAGAATGGGCAGCCACCGACCGACCCTGTCCTGAGTTCCACCCAGGAATCCCTCCTAAGGATGTTTATTCTAGGGTGCTTTTCGCTTTCTATTCCTCTGATTCATTGTTCAGACAACGGAAAAGAGACAAGATTGTTGTCTTTTCTTAAACTATTTGCTGTTTGTGCTATCCTGCCGCCCAATATTAAAGAATATACGTAATTGTCTTAGTTGGCCAACTAGACTATAAATAAGATTACTTTGTGATCTAGCCCATGGTAGGTCTTAAATATCGGGCTGTAACTGAATGTGCTTCGTTTTTGCTGGAAAAGCTTCTTGCTCCCACCTACCACATACACACAAGGCGCAGCCTTTAGCAAAAGAAAGTTGAGGTGCTTGTGGGTCAAGTTGCCTGGTGGGACTACAACCTGATCCCCTTGAAATGCTGGGCAAAGTGGAGACAGAGGAAGGCTTGCTGGCCCCACTGATACTCTGGGGCCACTGAGCTCCAGGAAGTGGGTAGGGTATTCCATTTTGTATTCTGATTTTGGGGGCGGGGGACTTATTTCTCATCTTTATTCCCCATCAAAATGCAAAGTGCTTTGAAAAGCAGCTCAGAGCACATTCGTGGCTGTCACTGAAGAAGCCTGGTCTAAGGTAAGATGGATTCTGCTCCCCTTTGCTCTTGGTCAGTTTGGCTTACCACGTTTACTAGATGTTTGTGAGATGCACAAGTGTGTCTGATGTTGAGATAACAGCCATGCTCTTGTGCATGCCACCAGTGGATTCTTCCACAGGCTTTCTGACTTCTTCTTCCTGTCTTCCTTTATCCTACTTAATGAGAGAGATGAGCGATGGCGGGATGATTTGTCACCATAATTAATTGCATGAGTGAGGCACTGAGTAACCTTGGGGTTATCATTCATTATAAGGGTGAAAGATGAGCCCATCTCAGGTAAAAGTTCTCTCATTCATCCTCTGTTTCCAGCAGGATCAATTTGGAGTTCATTTGATAATAGTTCTATACTCACTCTTCCCTGCACTTACATTTTACTATTCTTATTTTATATAGTGATTTTTACATTTAATGTATTATCAGAAAGAAATGGCAAGAGTGGATCATATTGTATTACACATTACTATATTAATGTAAGGTATCATAGACCCAAATTTTGTTAACTTTTATCATTACTCATAATGAAAGCTAAAGGAAAAATAACAAAGCCTTTTGGTTAGTTCATAGACTAGAAAATTCAACAAAGGTGCTCAAGCTGTAAGTACATGAATAGGCAGGACTCCTCTCAGACAATATGTGCTTGTAAAGGACCCAGAGAGGCTTAGGTGAAGTCCTGGACAAGCATATATGGCGCGTCCTTAATTTAAATTCAAGAAGTGTATCTGGGCATTCACTGGCCATTCTGGGATGGCATGGTGCAGAGCCAAAGTCTGTGGTCCTAAGTTCTGATTCTAATTTTTGAGATGTGACCACAGCATACAGCATTCTGAGGCCAACTGTCTCCTGACACCAGAATTTCTTCTTCAAGCGTTCCCTAGGGATGTGACCATGCTCATGGTCACAATTTGAATCCAGTTTATCATTTAACCAAGTTTGGCAGTGAGACGTGAGAGAGAGAAAGAGATTGACCAGTTCCTAACATTCAAGAAACCATATCTACATTAACAGCATCTCTGGTTTGAAATGATACAGCCCAGCCCAAAACAGTATGAGTATGGCAGAGCTCTGAATTCTTATCAAGAACTGAACATGTCATTATGCCATTGACAGACCCAAGGTCTTAACTGTGAATTTCCTGTCTATTGTCTCACATTAAGATATAAATTCAGTCTAGGTTAAAGTATGATTGTAGAGATAGTTGTTTGATATTGATAGTTTTGTAAACAATAATGAAAGGTTCTGATAAATATCAGCCTATGATAACTACTACAGAGATCACTCAAAGAAAGTAAGAGACTGAGTTCAGCTTCTGATGGGAAACAAAAGAAGAAGTAGCTATAATCCTTAATTTTAAATTCAGAAATACAGGATGATGCACACAGTAGACCACTAACTCTGTTATATTCACATTGTGAGATACTCTTCCATTTACTTTACAAGCATACTCTTCCATTTCTTCCTTAGCTATTATCAATGATTAACCAGATACAATCTCAGATTTGTTAGTCACTAACAAAAAAACCCACAATTGGTCATGAGGATGTATGTGCAGATCTTACTCTGTATCTCAAAGCTTGATTTTTTTTGCTACAAATAAATTATTTATAAAACATAGGGAAAGTTCATGCATATTCTGAGTACTTACCATTCTGAGTAACTATGATTTTATACAGGATCACTTATTCATTCAGTAAATATTCTTTTGCTTGTAAAAAATAGAATATGGGCTGTCTCTCCAAGAAGCTTCAAGTTTCTTTCTTATTTCATTCATTCATGCAACTGTCTAGCAAATATTCATTGATCATGCACAGGTAAGTAAAATATTGGTCCTTTCATCTGGGGGTTTACAGTCCATTAAAATCCTAGCACAAACATGGTATACTTCAATGCATAAATGTTTATGGGGAGAATGTAGAACATAGCTTGAGAATACAGAGGAGGAAGCCAAAAATTTGCATGGAGAAAGTAGGTGGAGATTATGAGATTAAACGTTAAGTGCTGAAAAATTAATTGGGAAATTCTGAGCAGTTTGGTATGCCTGGAACATCTTTCTTAGATGTAATGGAGGTAATTATATTAGAAAAGGAGCCTAGGACATATACTACAAGACATATAATATAGGACAAATTATGTCTTTTTAGATTTCTTAGTCAAGGTGGTCTATAAAACGTGTGCACAAGGAAATAGTCTTTTCCAGACACAGCAGGGGAGACACACATGACCTCACAGACACTGTGACAGCATTCACAAGGCCTGCACAGCTCAGGCCACACAAAATCACAGCACAAACATGGGATGTGGGCACGAAGTCCCACCCCTCGCCATGAAGTATTTGCAAAGAATAGCTTCTGGGAGAGGGAAAATCCCCATTTTCTTCAACTCAGTGACACTGGGCATCTCAACCACACGCCAGGGCAGACCCCATGGCTGGGAGCATTTGGCCAAGACAAAACAAACTCCGTATTGTTTAGTGTTTCTTTTTTTAATTTAATTCTTTTAAAGAGAAAGAATATGATGTGGGATGAGCTGTGGAGGTGGACCGGGGAGAAGTTAGGGGATGGGAAAGAATATAATAAAAATATACTGTATAAAATTATCAAAGAATAAATAAGAAAGGGAAATAAATGTGCACCGACTGTATGCACATGATACTTTATCCTTTCCTGTGTGTATTACATAATCAATTACTTTTATTGAATGAATATTGAAAAGTATTGCTTTTCTGAAGCAAAAGCAGTAGTCTTCACCCTAATTTCTATGATGTACTGCTTTTTAATGTGAAGCTACTTTTCATATCATTATCACCTGCCACCTATTCCCCTAGAAACCATTTGTCCCTGTGGAAGATTTTTCTTGTACTCTAGCACATTTCAGTTCAAGAGGGAATATATTTTTGGCTCTATTTACTTGTAGATTGTTGTACTAACTATTAATATACAAAGTCTTAGTGAACATATTATACATTCAATGTGTGTACCTGCTATTCAGATTAGGCTTCTTAGCAGTCACATTCTTGGAGACCCATCATAAAATCTGCTGTCACTGTAGACTGAGATTTTGTATTAGTCATCACAAGGTGGATCACATGGCAGTAACAAAACCCACAATGAGTGTTTACCCACTGTTCATGTTAAGTGCCAATGGCATCAGCAAGGGCAAAAAGCAGTTGCTGTGGTGATTCGGGGACTCTTACACAGTCACCGCCACAGAGAAGAGGGATATGGCAACTCTTGCTCTGGTCACATGTTTCCTGTCATGATGAATCATGGTTTCTACATTTCATTAGCTCTAAGCAGGTGATATGATGGCCACCCTACATTCAGACAGAGTGCGAACACTACAACAGACGCAGAAGGAGGAGAGCTGGAGCATTTCTTCCCTGGCGACTCCAAGTCTGAAAGGATCTCTCTCTCCCACCCTCAGCCTCCTGAAGAAAATAAATATGATGAATGTAGAACTTAAAGACACAGAGATGTAGATATGAATTCCAACTCTGCCTCTGAGTGCATGAGTGACTTGTAGCATCATTTTATAAAAGGTAAAAAGTTAATAACTGCCTTGAAGAGTCATAAAAATGGAAAGACACATATGAACAGTCTCCCCTTCTCTCTCCCTCTCCCTGTACTTCTCCCCCTTTCTTTCTCCCAGAACTAGTACATGTTGCTTACCAGCAACTTCCCACAGCTAGCATCCATGTGGTGCTGCTGGTTTTCCCACTGGCTTGCCTGGCTCTTTCCCCTAGAGACATCCAGGGTTTCCCTCCCTTTTCCCATCACACTCTGAAGATTGCCCTTCCGCACATCCCCTGCCTCTTTCTTCTACTTCATAGCATTCCTCTTCATGGCATACCTCTCTACATGCCAGCTCACAGCACGGAAATAAGAAAGAACAAAGAACAGATAATTGGGGTTAAATGTGTGCCTCTGACCAAGACTACTTTACAAATAGGTAAGGCAATGAGCTTGTAGAAAGGATAATTCATTAGTTCCTCTCTCACACCGTATTTGTTTATATTTTAGAAAAAATGTATAACCATTTTGCATAGGTCACCTATGGAATCATCTGTTTTCTGCAAATAATTCTCAGTTATTTTTCAATTCTGCCTTCTTAGATGTTGAAGTTGAAGTACATGTTAGGGGAACTGAGCCAGCACTTGTTTTTTGCTTCCGTATTGCATTTGGCAGAGTCTGGTCTTGAGTTATTATCTAAAATGACAACAAGCTGCCGAGGGCCCGAGTTCCTCCGACACTCTATAGATAGTCTGGCATATCATTTATTTTGTTCAGTGGTACAGGAATATGTTGATATTCTTTGCAAGCCAGACCTTTGAGCTCACTCTGTGGGATGCAGGGGGTGGGGGTAAATACACTAAGTTCTACTACCCTGTTCTCACACAAAGGATGAGCAGAGTCTCAGAGGTCCCATATGGGAACACACTTCCCTAGTGAAAAGCACAGCATCCTGTATTCCTTGCTATTGTAGTCTACATAGGGATCCAGGTAAGAGAGTATCTGTCCCCTTGTAGGGATGGTGGCATTTGCAACCTACATCTCAAATCCAACTTGTCTAGTCTTCATCATTTCACAGTATCTTTCTGCACCCCTGTGTTATCAGTGATGAATGGAAAGCCCACTTCTCAAATCAATGCTCCCAAGTATTTAATTTACAGCTGTGTTTGGAATTGACTAGATTCAGTTCATAAATCATTTACTGGCTCCTCGTTCCAAAGAATTCTGAGCCCGGACTGTAGAAGACATTGTAGGATGATGTTTGTTTGACCTCCTACCTCTCTGGGGAACTCATCCAAACCTGGATGATCCAGGAGATGCTCACTACTTAGGGATTGTGAGAAGCATGAGTGCATTCATCTGTGAAACTTGCTGTTTGCAGCCTGTGTGTTTTCTTTGGCTGCCTAGGTAACGGTTCTATTTCTGTCTAGTTTATCTACTACTGTTATTTCCCAGGTCTCTACTTTGAACCTGGACCTTGGTAGTAATTGTGGGCTCTCCACAAGTCTCTCAGAGTCCGCCTGCTCTGTAGGACTAGGATGCTTCCATAGTGATGTGTTTGCCTGGGTATTTAAGCTATAGAAGGGATATATGTGGCTGCCTCTGAAGATGATGGATGATGACAGAGGGACATGCCTGGATTACTTGATCCAGGGGACCCACGGGACATTCATTTCAATGGATAGTAATGGTAGTGAATTCATGAGTAAGGCTCACTGGTTTCTGGTTCCCATACACAGTCCTTTTTACCAGGGACCATCCTGCAATTGTTTATCGTGACCACCTGTGAGATAGGGGGACATCATGGTAGCAGCAAAGAGTTGAACTTTTTGATGCTCATTGAAGCTTCATGCTGCCACCCTTCATGTATTTCTCTAGAAGTGTCTAACATTTGAGCTGAACTTCAGCTTATTATTCTAAACATATTTTCTTGAAATCTTTCCAAAAATTCATGAAAACTTGCAAGAGTCCTAACAGTGAACACCCATATATCCTTAGATTAGAGCAACTAGTTGTTAACACATTGACACATTTGTTTTACTATATTTCTATGCATATGTACATGTGTGCACCTTTGTGTTACTTGAAGGTTTCTTGCTAATGTGGCTAGCTATTTCAATATAATATTTCCTAAGAATACTTATTTACTTACATGTAATTTGGAAATTAACTATTTATGTAATCTAACATATAGTCTTTATGTTTGAGCCATCTTATATGTTTAGTCCAGGCTGGCCTTGAACCTATGATCCTCTACAAAGTGTGGGGAATACAGATATGTTCCACTGTCTTGGATCCTTAATGTCCCTTATAACAAAGCTTTTTTTTTTTTTTAATTTTAATTTATCTAAGATCCATCAAGAACTCTGCATTGCATTAAGGGGGATAAGTGTTGAAATCTGGGTCTTTCTCTCATTGCTCTCAGTATTCAGATGGCATAAATCATGTCATATGACCAAAACTGAATGCTTTCAAAACTTAGCCAGTGCAAGCTAGCAATTACTAAGCATTATTCTTCTTAAATACCCACTTTTTTCTACAAAAAGCTTCATCACGCTTTGAGTGTCTGCCATTGAGGACTGAAAGAATGAGGGATTTATTTGGCAAAATTCATCTGTAAGTGTTACACTAAATACTTGGCTAATATCCAGATAATATGTGCAATTTGCATAATCAACTAAGTTCTACTTGTATCTGCATTACAAGAGATGATAGTTCATTAATTCAAGCAAATGTTATAGCTAGGTTTTAAATGTGTTTAAGTCAGAGACTCTCTGAGCTGGGATTCTTGTAGAGAAATGCAAGATACATAGCATTTATACACCATTGTGATGCTTTAATACACTGTCCGATGCTTCACTTCAAACAAACGCAGGGTATTGTAAAGACAGAGATATGAAAAGAACCTGGTTAACTATTTTGTCAATGCTGAAGCTCTTTCTAGACAAGCTATGAAATCACCTGCTTTTCAATTTGTGCTTACGTGTATGATTTTATGGATCAATTACAGTTTTCAGTCTGCAATGTATTGTTGTGAGCGAACTTGAAAATTGGATATATTAGATAATTTGCATTCCTTTCTCTCGATGCCTCAATTATCAAGATATTTTAAGTGGATATAAATTTGAGATCTTGGTTAGAATAAATAAACAAGTGGCCATACATTCTGTATGTTGGAAACACACACATGCTCACTTACACACACGCGTACGCACACACACACATAATAATAAATATTTATAGGACCTCATATAAACAGAAACATAATCTTTAGATATCTTATCTGGGATGTCTATGAGAAATATAGGGAAATGGAGTGAAGAATGGAAGGAAAGGGGATTGAGATCACAATAAGGCATAAACTGTAAAACACATCTGTGTGTCTAAGGAGGGGTCAGTGACAGAAAGTAAAAAGGAAGGGTAGCGGGGGCAGGAAGTGAGTGGTGACAACTCACACTTTCTTGTTCTCCACAGCCTACAGCTGCCCCCTTCTGAGGAGTCTGCATAGACTTAGGGGGGACTTGACCAGCGACTGTGGAAGCATTAATTTCCCAAGCTCTTCCCTGTTCCCCTAGAGCAGTCTAGGGGACACACAGAGGCTTCAGAAGCTGAAGGATATCTGGCATTGGTGTGTAAAGAATTTAAAAGGTATTTCCATCTCAGAGATTTATGATAATTACAAACTTTATTAGAACAATTTTTTTCAAGATATTACACTAGGTCAGGAAATGTTCCAAGCATACCTTCACTGGGAAAACATACGTTGAGTAAAAATTATTTTACAGTTGTGGTTACCTACACAAGACCTGCACAGGCTGGCAATGTGATCTCTAGGCCTAACCCTTAACTGAGGAGCTATTGGTGGTTACTACCTGCTGACAGACAGTCATTATTCTTGGAGGATGTGGCCCCTGGTAGGTTTCCCACGATGCAGTGAGTGACCTCATACTCAAGCACTAATTAATCGGACTTAGCAGACCAGCACTAACTGAATTTCATGGGTTATCAAGAGGAAAAAGAAGACATGAAGTGTGTAGGGAGCATGTTGGTGGAAATACTGGGGGAGGTGGGGAAAGATGGGGGTGGAGAGTATATGTTATTGTATACATAAATTTATCCTCGAAGAATAAAAAATTATTATAAAATTATTTTAATTGAAGAGATAAAATGGGACATAATAAGAAAGAATAGAACCTCCTTTGCCTCTACCACAGCATGGCTTAATGTGAATGCTTAAAAACACATTCAGATTATATAAAAGTATGGAAGACGTTTTTGTACACTAATTCTATGGTTTAAACAATCCTAGCAATTTTAGGGATAAAAATTATTTTTTCTGAACACAACCAAAAAACTGGAAATGGTCAGAATTGGGTATGAGGAGGAAGGAGAACAGAACCCCTCATTAAAACTGGAGTAACGTTTTGAAAGGCATCTTGAGTTTGACTGTTCTCCCCCAGATTTGTTACAGCTTTGCCTGTGATCAGTCATTACTTCCCTGCTGGCTCTTTCTGTAAATGATCCCGTTAGCGTGGCCTTTCCTCCCCGTCCCAAAAGTGACTTCCAACCTCCACTACTTCTTATCCAGTCGTGTCTCATCTGACCTTGAAGTCACGGCTTTTGTCGTCTTGACATAGTCAGGTCACCCAGGCGTGGTCGGCCCACTCACAAGTGTGGGGGTTTTCTTCTTGGCCTTTTCCCCAACACCATGGAAGAATCATAAAAATGCTATGCCTGGCACTACCTCTGTGATGGCCCTATTTTTTTAAAATCTAGGCAGTTGCCTAGTTAAATCACCTATCCATCTTATTCCAAGATTCTAGTATTTGGGAATGAATATTTTGCCAAGGTAGTGATTTAGGTATAAAATCTTTTCAGAAGCATAAATATGCTAAAAAAATTATTACTTTCTCCCCTAAAACACTATTATATAAATGCAAAGGACTTAAATCATTTTTGAGAATGTATAAGATAGAAAGTTAGACTATATTCCCTTTGCAATGCTTTCATGTTTTTATAACATCTCTGAGTCAATTCTGCTTTGCATATCAAAAAAGTGTATTTGTGATAGTATATCTTAAATGAATAATTAATTTCTAAAATAATTAGGATAAAATCCATTGTCTAACAAAGCAGTATTGATCTTATTTTTCATTCATTTATTTAATAACATTTATTGTTGTTGTTGGTGGTGGTGTGTGTGTGTGTGTGTGTGTGTGTGTGTGTGTGTATGGTTGTGAGTATTTACACATGAGTGCAGTGCCTGAGGAGGCTGAACGTGTTAGATCCCCTGGAAATGGAGATTCAGATGGTTGTGAGCCACCTGATATGGGTGCTGGGAGCCAAATTCAGATCCTCAACAGGAGCGGTACATGCTCTTAATGGCTGAGCCATCTCTCTAGCCTCACATTTGTTTGCTTGTTCATTCATTCATTCATTCATTTCTGAGTAAACATTGGACTGAGTCTGAAAATACCTTGAGTAGATAAGAGATTTGGCTGAGAGGGAGACACTGAAGATGGATTGGATCCACAGTTGCCCTGGAACTGATCTGAAAAACAAATCACTGACATGGAGCTTTCACTTTCATGTTGCAAAAGTGCAATAAGGAAGTTTTCTGATCATTCATTTAAATTGAGAGAGCAGAGGACCATGCATTTTAACTTTCCATTATACTCTATCTAGTAGGGATCCATGAATTCCAGTGCACTGTGTAGAACTTCCAATCCTTCTGCTAAGGGGTCTTTCTAGCTCAGCGGTTCTCAACCTTCCTAATGCTGTGACCCTTTAATACAGTTCCTCATGTTGTGGTGACCCCCAACCATAAATTTTTTTTTCATTCTACTTCATAACTGTACTTTTGCTACTGTTATGAATCACAACATAAACACTTTTGGAGACAGAGGGTTGCCAAAGAAGTCACAACCCTCAGGTTGAGAATCACTTTTCTAGCTCACTGGCTGATAGCCTCTGGATGCAATCTATTTTCTTAGCTGGGTTTTGATTTTTATTCGACAGATACAATGAATTATGATGAGTGTTCATGCAGAATTCTGCTCTCCTAGTGTTCTGATAAGTAAGAACACTTCTCAAGTGGGAAAATAGTGGCTAGCTGAATAAGCTTTGAGTAAGCATAGTTCATTAGTTATAAACCTTACTTAGATGACTGCAAGCCTAGGTTTGTGCTTACCATTGAATGCAAATGAGGATTTTCATTTGGAGAGAGTGGTGGGAGAATTATGGTCAGCACCAGTCTTCTCTTTCATTTCACACGACCTAAGGCCAAGGCAAAGAGAAAGCATTAGAGAGAAGATAATTACACAAAGCATGAAGGAATGGCTGAAAGGCAAGGTCTTATATAATACACCCTTCTTTCTAATAGGCCAAAGATGGCTTTGCTCAGATGGAGTAGAATCTCTTCTGGATCCTGGCAGTAGTAGTTCCTAAGTGTCCCAGAGAAAAATAACTGATACGTCACCAAAAACGATCAACTGTGTTACAGTATTTAATCTTCCATCTGTGCAGGAGTATGCCGCTCATGTGAGAACCTTATCACACAGCTCTAAATTCCTAATGCCTTGGGGGGATCACTTTTTGGTATGGCACAGCAGGACTTGGTACTGCTGAGATGTTGACATACCTTCATTTATCTTCATAGCTAGGTGATGGTTTAAGGAGTGGACGCAAGGATACAAAGTAGCTTGTCTCTGTTTTCCACAACAAAACTTTAAACACTTCTTACCCACATAGGAACTTGAATGATGTCTTCAGAGGCCAGCGTTCCTATACTACAATGGAGGTTGGCCGACAGGCTGAGTTTCATAAATTGCTGTGTTAGAATTTGGGGCCTTGTCACGTCTCTGCTCATGCGCCATGTCTCCTCCACATACCTCACGGTGTGTGGTGTGAGAGAACTCTGAGGTGAGGACTGGCCAATTCTTCTCTTCAGAAGGGATGGAGGGATCAAAGTGCACATTACAGTTCTGTTCTTTCAAACGGTCACAGTCCCATGGGCGTGGAGGTGTATGCCAGTTCTCAGGAACTAAGGCAGGGGATTTGTAAGTTCAAAGCTAGCCTGGGCAGCAGAGTGAGACTCTATCTAAAAAGATAAAGAGAAAATTTGAACTTAGACTCTTTATAACCTCTTCATGGAAAAAAAGGACCCACTGTCTATGAGAGGCTGGGTATGGCGCCAAATCAGTAAACAAACCTTGTCTTATGTGTGCTGTCTCGCCACCCCCAGATCACTGAGCTCATGGACAGCATGGCAAGCCCCACCTTGCTCAGTTTCATAGGTCACTAGCTTTGGTATGGTTCTTCCCAGGACAAGTCTTTATTCCAAGAAAGAAAGAGAGACTTGGCTGGCCATGAACTGTCTTGGTTGCCTCAAAAAAAAATAAAAAATAAAAAAAAATAAAAATCTGCTGTCTGAGAATGGCTCTGAAAAAAAAAAAATCAAAACCTTTCCCAGGATCTAAGTATGATTTGAGATGCGAGGTGCCGCCCCGAGACAGGTCAAGGCTATGCATTTAAGACGAAGCCACCCTCTTCTCCGCCTTAGCCTCATCTGTGAGAAAGAGTGGGAAGGGCCATCCCGAAACACTCTCCTGTGATTTCTTTGCCACGGTGCCAGCGGTCACGGCATTAAACAAGGACGGGTTTGGTGATCACCAGCATTATACACCGACCACTGGATAAAACATTCGCCAGACAGAAAGAGCATCGGCCAGTTTTTCCAAACTCCGAGAAGGAAATGAGAATTGATGTTACCAAATTAAAATCATCTCCAGCAATGCATATCCCCAATTGTTTCAGAGTAGAACAGTCAGATCAAATTTGGACTGCTGTCATTTTGCATTAAGAGGCAATCTGGAAATGATACTCAATTTGTAAAATTAGGGAGACGGCCTTCAACGCAGAAGATATTTCACTGTGAAATTGAATATGCTTTTATTTTCTACCATTATCCGCAGGCCACATTGGAGACCCACAGCTTCTTAGTATTTTCTGTGAACTGTTCCACAGACAGCTGAGGCTTCCAGGGCAGAAGATGACCTTCGGGAAGAACAAAGGTCCTCTCGGGACAGTTACCCTGAAAAGAGAGACCTTGGTCAGAACAGCAATCTGTAGACATGTGTCAGCCTTGCCTCTGACATTCTGGTACCACAGTAACATTGCCTGGGCATTCAGCGTTAGAAAACGATACTCATCTGAGTGGCAGAAAAAGCAGCTTGAGAAAGGCCAGTCAATTCTGGCTCAACTTGTGACCTTATGTTAGATCTGTGATGCTGGCAGAGACCTCAAAACACCACTTGTCTTTCTAGGCCTGTAGAAGGAACCCCCCATTTACTAATGTTTTAACTGGGAAGGTCTCCCCCTACCCCAGGGTGATTATAGGAACAGAAAAATCTTACCACAGGCCTACCTGGAGTAGTAGGAAGACAGTCACTGTGGCACAAGCAGGAAATTGATCTCTCAAGACTAGCTGTGCGTCAGGTATATGGGCACAGTCCTTTCATCCCAGCACTCATGAGGCTGAGGCAGAAGGATGAAAAGTCTGAGGCCACCCTGAGACACACAAGACCCTGCCCCCAAACAAAACAAACTCAAGCTGTAGGCTTGCTCAAGGTGGCCAGCAGCCAGGAGCTAGTGACCCAAGTCTAGTCATTTGACTTTTCCATCCACTGTTGAGGAAACCAAGAATACAACGTAAGCATAGTTCTAGTTATTTCTCTCTCACTGTCTAGCTACACGCCCTGAGTAAACCTCAGTATCTTTGCACCCCAGTTTCTCATCTGCGAAGCAGGTGCTATCCCTGTCCTACTTTCCCCAGAAAGGGTTTTGAGGAACAGAGGGTGCCCGGTCCTTATCTTCTTTGCTCATTCCAAGAAGAGCAATGCAGGCCTTACTACCGGAACAAGAGAAGGATGAAGCTGGGATTTATTGTCTACCTATAACTCTGGCTCTTGTCGAATCAGCTAACGTCTGTGCATCTCCTCTTTCCCCTGCTGCACTGTGGCTGGGCGGGGACATCTGGGATACTTCTCTGCTTTAGTCTCTCAGGCTTCTATACTAATTTTCCCTTCTTGCATCACGCTGCCTCTGAGACCCCTTAACTTTACTCCCCAGAAATGAACGTCTGGATCATGTAAGTGCTGTAAAAAGGCTGGATGTTGCCAAACCAGGGTGACACATTTGTACTCCCACTGCGATTCCTTTTATCATTTTTACTTTTTAAAGACTGTTAGGAGCCTGCAGCAGCCTAATAGAATTAAAAACACCAGGCAAAACAGAATGTGAAGTGGGAGTCTAATTATTTTAGGAACTAGTAAGACATGGTTGCTAGCCCACATCGAGGCACTCAGCAAGACTCATTACTCTGTGTAAAACTTGACAGAGACAACCCTTGCTGAGGTGTCCCCAATCCAGGGATCATCAGTCCTGGCCACAGCAGCAAGTGCCATCCACTTAAAGCTTCCGCCACTTAGATTTGGAGAAGAGAGTGGGGGGTGGGCGTTCTCAGATGAAATGTTGGGCAGTGTTTTAGAAGGGAAAGCCGGGGACACAGTGGATGTCACCCTTTCACCGTTTTACCACACTGAAGTAAGAGGTAGAAACTTAATAGGAAAATAGCCTCATACCAGAAGGAGCTGGGAAGAGACTCTTTAATAGACCTGAAGAAAGTTTTAGAATTTTCTACCTGGAGATATTCTTTATTAAGGCTATGTCTCTCACAAAGTGAAGAACTTTCTTTGCACCAGAGTAACAGGAAAGCACTCTATTTCCATACACCTTAGAAACACACACACACACACACACACACACACACACACACACACACACACACACACACCACAGAGCCCATTTAATGTTTCTCTTATGTACATGTGTTTAGGGCTAAACACTTGGAATTGGACAACTCGGGGTGCTCAACCATGCAGAAGACTCATCTCTCTCTCTCTCTCTCTCTCTCTCTCTCTCTCTCTCTCTCTCTCTCTCTCTCCAGCCATGGATTGCCTGTATCTCTTCAGCTAGGGGTGGGATCTTATGGGATTTCCTCACTCACATTGGCAAGTCAACTGGTGCCACCATTGTGCAAGTCTTGTTCAGATGACCACATTGTTGGGATTTCGAGGGTACAACTCTCCCATCACACAGTGAAGACACTGTCTCACAGCAAATGTTTCTACATTTACATTCTACATTCTACAGCGATGTTCTTGAACCTGAAGTATAGGGGTTTCACTGTAGAAGTAACAACTACGACTATGTACACCATGACATACATGAATTCTCTGAATTTTGATAAGTTTTTGGATCTCTATCATAGCCTCCAAACATAAATATTCTTAAGGAAACCCTATGCCTGATTCCTTGCACTATAGCCACAGCTAGCATACTTCTTATCTACCTTATGAATTAATTCACTCTAAGGATTCCAGTCTCCTTCAGAGTTTCAGTCAGTTAATAGTCATGGAAGCATGATACTGAAAATGTCCTTCTGTGAAAGTTAGGGTTCAAGAGGGAGAGTAAGGAATGGTGAGTAATTTGAGTGTCACACTGAAATCTCTTGCTAGCAAACGCTATACTGTCTCCATCATTCAGAGGGAACCTGACATTAAGAAAAGAAAACACATAAGAATGAACCCTGATCGCATGGCAATAAAATTTTATTAATAAATCAAAACATTAGACAAAAGGCAAACATTGGGACCTGTGTTGGTCAAGAGTTGGCTGTATGTAGCCTGTGCAGAATGGATTTTTGTGAAGGAGGGAGTTTTGGATCTGAACTTTGGTTCCCATCTCAAAGCATCCACTTGCAGTATCTGCTATAATCACAGTGAGACACATCAAATGTATATTTTTCTTTTTAGTTCCTTGGAGGAACCTGGCACCTAGGATACTGTGAAGGGAAAATTGAAGCTCATTTCTGCATCTCATTTATAATAAAAAAACATAAACATTATTTGTCTTTCAGGAAATTATATCATTCTTTTTCCTCCCTGGTGGGTTTAATAATTAAGCCTCACTGAAAGAAAAACTAAAAAGCTCAACAACAGATGTGTTATTTCCTGACAAGTGCACTGAGCTGTGTCTTTGTTTTTTGTTTTTTTTTTTTTTTACAGTCTCTGTGGACAACTGATCCCTGATGCTGCCTTTGTTTAAAGACCAAGACATTTTGTTGTGCTGCTATTCCAGCCTGTGATTTCTGCTGCTGTCGTCATGAAAAGGCAATGCCAATTTCAGCAGTCTTAAGCCTGGTGTGAAACTTTCGTGTGCATCTACTTACACCACGCCACACCCACCATTTGTAGAGATGTCTGGGGCTGGCCCTTCCTCTGGATTTGCAGGAAGTGTGGACAATGGAACTTTTCTGGAGCTGTTTCCCACATCGCTATCCACATCAGTAGACCCGTCCTCGGGCCACCTCTCCAATGTCTACATCTATGTGTCCATATTCCTCAGCCTCCTGGCCTTCCTGCTTCTGCTGTTAATCATTGCTCTCCAGAGGCTGAAAAATATCATCTCCTCCAGTTCCTCCTACCCGGAGTACCCAAGTGATGCTGGGAGCTCGTTCACCAATTTGGAAGTCTGTAGTATCTCCTCTCAGAGGTCTACTTTTTCAAACCTCTCATCGTGAAGAGAATGGAAGGATAGGCTGAGTGAGCACAGCTTTGGTTTCTCCATGCAGAAGGAACTGCTTCCTGACAGAAATGACTATTCAGGTTGACATGTGTTCCGCTTTCATTTTTTATTTCTTTTCTGCTCAGGATGTGTTCCATTTATGAGCAGAGGAGCCAGCGCTGACAGAAACGTAGGTAAATGTTGAAGTGTGGGATTCTGCCCAAAGTTCTTGGCCAACATGGAGGCTGGTCAGCTCTGTGCTGGACGCCACGGACTCAGCTGAGGACTTCTGGGGATGCTAGTTAGAAGCTCTTCTACACTGCCTCTTCTAAAGCCCTAGGACTAACTGAGCCAGCAGAAATGTAAACCAAAAAAAGGAGACTGTTCAGAAGATATTTTCTGTATTTAAAAGATAAAGCAGAGACGGTATATGAGAAAGAGAGGGAGGGAGAGAGAGAGAGAGAGAGAGAGAGAGAGAGAGAGAGAGAGAGAAAGAACTTAGATTTAACATATAAAGTTTCCAAATGGAGGTTAAAATAGGCTAAATGTTTTTCTTGAGTTTCACCTTAGCAAATGTCACAGATGATGAGAAGAAGTCATTTGGGAACGATCTGGGGGAGTTGGAAGCTTCAACAGCACAGGGAAAGTGTGTCGTGTTGCGGTTTGCACTGCTTTTCTGCTCCTGGGTTTTCTCTTGGCTTCTTTTGCAGTCATCACGCTCTCCGGCTATGGAATCCTTTGTGACAGTTGCTGTTGCCATTACTAAATGAAGCACAGAAGAGGTGTGGTTCATTTTTAGTTCCTCACTATCGTTTCCATCCAGTAGGAATTAAATGTAGAGAAATATTTGTTCGGTTGTATTTTATAGAGTAATATTCTTAGTGACTGTGTGATCCTTCACTGCATCTGTCTTTAAAGCTTTACTGCAGAACAACATTGTCTCTAGGGAGGCAGGTGTTGGCTCACCCTAGTTTGTAAATCTTGGGGACTATATTGCTGATATTTGTGTCACACTCCATGAACGTGATGTATCTCTGATAACTTGTTTATGTTGACAAAATGCTCTGCACTGGGTTCCTAAGGGTGAGAGTTTATGCTAAAAGCTGCAGACATTGCAGTTGGGTCGCTGCAGATACTTCTGGGCTGCTGGAAGCTACTATACTGAAGCCAACCACGGGTGTCCCTGAGATGAGGCACAGCTGTGAGCACAAGCATGGCGTGTGCAGGGAATCAAGCAAAGCCAATTATAGCTTCTTATGGATAAGAATTTAAACTCAATTTTTAAAAATAAATGGTTCACAGGCTGAACACTGAGCTGGGTAAACCCTGAGTGCCAATACACTAGTCTTTCTTGGGCAAACCAGTTATCTTCTGTTCAAAAATTTAATAATCTTAACCGGGCAGTGGTGGCACACGCCTTTAATCCCAGCAATCGGGAGGCAGAGGCAGGCGGATATCTGTGAGTTCGAGGCCAGCCTGGTCTCCAAAGTGAGTTCCAGGAAAGGCGCAAAACTACACAGAGAAATCCTGTCTCGAAAAAAAAAATTTAATAATCTTAAACACTGGAACTTCAACGCATCCCTTGGATGAACTGTGCAGTCAGAACTCCCCAGGGACAGGAATGGGAGAAAGAATTCAATATTTTATGGGCCCTGCCTGACAGCCGAGGCATGTGGAGGTCTGGAAACTGGAAAGGAAGATCAAAAGCTGCTTCCTTCTTTTTACCCCACAATCAAATCAGGACATACTTAGCTACTTACATATCAAAACCATCCACAGACACCACTGGACCGGGACAGATGCTGCCCTAAAATGCTGTCGCTGGAAGTGTGACTCAATGCACAGTAGAGTCTTGGAGAAGTTCTGCATTTGGGTGGTTATTGCCATTCTCTGAGTTTCTGTGGGCACATGTACACATGTAACTGTATAGACACAGTGTGTACACACAGATACATGTGTGTCTGCACATATTTCCAGGGGAAAGTTGTGTGACAGCTATCAGGGTTACAGAAGCATCTGTAATGTCACTGCTACTCTTGATTATTCTTGTGCTATTTTGGTTCTGAGGTTATTGGGTAAAGAGATCTTAATAAATAAAAAGACAGACATCTCAACGACAGACAACCTCGTTAGGTCTTGTCCTGGGGAGGGAACTTTCTATCCTTTTCTACTGGAATAGATTCAAAGACTCCAGGCAGGAAAACTACTTAAGTCAAATTCCCTCGCCTCTGCAGGCGCACTCCCCCAGCCACATGATTTCTGCTCCCCATGATAACTGGAATAATTACCAGCAAGACGCAAAGATAGAAAATAGGAGTCACCACTAAACACTGTACACGTTGAGATGAGTTGGTCTTGTTGAAAACGTTCAGAGAGACTGGAAAGCAGGTCTATGCATAAAGAGGTGGGGTTTGTTGAAAACCCGACTTCTTGTTTTGTTCAGAGGCTTACTCTCACCTAAGAGTTCTAAGTATATCTATAGAATCTATAGCTACATAATATTCATATACTAAATGCCTATGGGAGCTGGAGAGATGGCTCAATGGATAAGAGAGCTGGCTGCTTTTCCAGAGGACCTGGGTTCAAGTTCCAGCACCCATGATAGGTGGATCACAACTACCTGTAATTCCAGCTCCAGGGGATCTGACGCTGTCTTCTGGCCTCAGACACTCACACACACACAGCACACACATGTACATTCTATATAGTGTATCTATGGAATGTGTGGACCTGTTTTGATGCATATCAACACTGCTTTCCTCTAATGAATCAACAATGTATGACCTAGTACCAGCCTCTCCTCATCATTCCCTCTTGGCAGTGAGAGAGTCTCAGACTGGCCTAATGAGGAGAATCACTCCACAAGAATGCTTGGAAAATCTCTAAGTTCCTACAAAATCAAGCATCTAAAAGTCACAGAAGGCCCCAGGTGCTGAGGAAGAGGAGGAGGACGGGGAGGAAAGCCTCTCTCTTCTCCACAGGCCCCAGGAGTAAGGCAGTGAATGTGGCTCACATATACTTAGGAAGAGAACTTTGCTCTCAGGCACTGCCCACCTAACTTCAGTGTCTCCAGTCTGAGCGCTGGCCCACCTGCCACCCACTCCCAGACCTACTTCAACCTCCTCTCCGGCTGGAGTATGGAATCCAGGCCACCCTCCTAAGCATGGGGTGGGGAGGCTGCTATTGTGATGGGTTTGGAGGGGAAGAAGTGAGCAAGGTCCTCTCTCTCTCATCAAATCCCTTTGTTCCTACAACTCTACCTTCACAAGACGAAGCATTGTAGCAGGCTAGAGGACTGAAGGGGTTTATTTGATGAGACAAAAAGAAAATGTACATTGTATACCAAGACACTCCCACCACCTACAGGAGAATCACACAATGACAGGACAGTCTAATCTTCAAAGACTAACACCAGTTTCGGTTGATGTCCTGCCTTGATATCAGCTTCCCACTTGTCACCAGCGCCAGATCCCACCTCCCCATTCTCTATTACCCTTGGGGGTTCATCTCCATCAGTCCAATGCACAGCACCTCAGCCTAAAGGCTGAGTATCAAAGACAGATTGTTCCATCTTGTTTGTGGAAAGACTAAGACACCACCTCAATGCTTAAAGCCCTCTCAGCGCAACTTAACCCAGCCTTCCATGGCAAACAGAAGTTATTTCCCCCTCGTGGATCCTTCCATTTCAAATACATGCCCAAGCCACTAACACTCTATGAAACATTTCCTGTTCATACTGATTTTATTTTATTGTGTTTCTGACCATTCTTCTGATGGCAGAGACCTCATCAAACCACCCCAAATGTAGGGTTTTCTTTTTCTTAGCTGGAGTCCACACTCTGTAGGAGGTATGTCATCCTGAACACTGTAAGAAATGGTTAGCAAGCATTTATGAAATATGAATGCATCCTTTGGTGCTGGATGGAGCAGGCAGGCTCCTGCTCTCCTGAAACATGAAATCTAGTGAAGCAAGTACTCAGAACAACATGAAAAAGAAATATATACAGTTGTAGTGTCCATGAGTGCAATTGAGAAAAAGCATTTGTGAAGTGACAGACCCTGAGGAAAATTCACATAGGAAAGTACTTGAAGGCTGTCAGAAAGAGTCTCTGAAAAGAGAAGAGAATACACAAAATCCCTATTGTAGGGAGAGCCGTGGCCCTTGCAAGCACAACAGTTAGTCCTGGAGTCTGAGATGTGATATTTGGGAGGTGGGAAGGTCAGGTCAAGCAGGGGCTCATAAGTTTCACAATTGAATTTATGTTTAAGAAAGATTACTCCAATTTCTTTGTGGAAAAGAGACCAAAGATGGACAAAAAGTCCTAGTCAGATGCATTCTGGGTGGGATACGGGAGTGGGTGGAGAGTTGTTTTGTCTGCTACAAATATCTGCTCGTCTGCTAGCCATGGAGACAGCCTGAGCTAAGAGTGAGTTTCTCACACAACCCATCCCTCCTACACTAATTGTTTCCAATCCTACCCCCCATACACACACACACACACACACACACACACACACACACACACACACATCCCCCAGCATTTCAGTCACTAACAGATGCCACAACTTGTCCCCCGTTGGCCCTTATTTAAAGTCTTTCAATCATTTTCAGTCCACATGGCAACTCTTACTCCAATATTTTTAACATGTTGTATGACTAATACTCCCAAC